TACAGCCAGGACACCACGCCCTTTGCAAGACAGAGAGGGAGAAGGCAAAACCGGGACAGAGAGAGAAGGCAGAGGACCCCTGTCCCTCCACTAGTCTCAGTCCTGAGGCAGCGATGTGCAGTGGGCAGAAGAGAACCTGGTGCCCAGGCTGGCTGGGGAAAAGAAGGCCCTGGTGCCAGCCAGCCAGGGGCCGCAGCTGGGGGACTGGGGCTCCGCCAGGACCCTACCTGCTCCCTTGTCCCACTTGCCCTTCACCTGTGATGAGAGAAAGGTTGCCAGGTAGGAAACAGGTGAATGAGGAGGGGCTGGCTTATCGACCAGGTTGGCCCTCTCAGACAGAGCATTTGCTGATACTCTGGGGGAGGGTTTTGAGAACTCCCCCTGTGCACACATACATGTGCACACGCACACGCCATGCCAGGAACAGAGGCCTGGCCTCGCTCCACTGCAGCCCCCAGTCTCTCACTCCAGAGCAGAGCCGGCGGCCAGATGAGGGGTGATATTCTGCCGCCCACGTCTGAGCTGTTATTCTCAAGAAAAATGGAAAACTAAGCTGCTCCCAAGACTCTGATGAAGGAAGACAGCCCACCAAGCCCTTCAACTCCACCTGTGAACCAGAAACGAGGACTTCCCGCTCCCCACGCTGGGCCACACAGAAAGGACACCATCCTCCTAAAGTGACAGCACTTCTGAAATTCAGCATCTGCTTACGTGACGCAGAGATGAGTCAGCAGGAGCCAAGCCCCCACCTGGAGGCACAGGAAACTGAGGACAGAGGAGCCAGACGGTCTCCCAGAATCCCCAGGGACCTGGAGGGAATCTTCGCCTTCTGGGTGTGGCTGAATGATGAGAAGTGCATGTTGGGAAAGACAACCTTTTGGCCCAGATTCCCCAGGGCAACCCGGCTTTCCTGAGATCCCTCTGTGCACAAAGCTAACACAGTTCTGTGTGTACATTTGGAAGACTCTGTATATAAACAGGTTCACAAATCAGAGCAGATGATCCTCTGTAGACCAATAGTCTGACTTTTGGCTTGGAAATTACACTCCCTATAAATACATGCCAGGACATACTTTATGTTCTTAATGCAAATATTTACATTCCAAACAAAGACGCAAGGGACTTCAAGACAAGCTTCCTCTACCCAATGGAAGAAACACTTGTGGGCCCCACATTTTTGCCCACGTAGATGTGGCTCCTGCTCGTGTTTCTGAAACACCAGCCAAGTTTCCGTACTGTTTCTTCCTGAGACTCTCAAGACACAAAATCCTGCGGTTACTACATTTAATAGCCCAAAAGCTAATGCCAGGAAATCCAAAGTTGTTCCATGATGCGCCTGACTTCTCCTGAAATTCAGTGACAAGTGTTAACTTTCCTATACCATGCTACCAAGTGGGGGACCCTCCTCTGTGGTCTGGGCACACACCCAGAAGCCCACACGAGGTCTGAAATACCCTTTCTCCAGGGGAAGTGGGCTTCTGAAAGAACTGGGTTAACTGGATGCATTAAATGAACAAATGGCAGACCCCCTTGCCCGGGGATAGGCCCGGCTGTGGGTGGGCCCCCAGACACCCTCTGCCCCCTTGAGAGACTCAAAGGTAACACTTGGCTGAGGGGAGGGAGTCAGGTGGGAGAGATGGTAAGAGTTATTGGCAAAGGCTTCCCACAAGTTCAGGCCCTATGAGAAAACCAAGAGGAGGTGGAAAAGGTTGTCTAGGCCCAGGCCAGTATCTGATGCAGCCTTAAAGTCAGAATGTAGCCTCAGCCTCAAGGCCCAGTGCTAATCCTCATCTTTGTTTGGCCAATCACTCCCACTCTCTGCAGATAAGAAGACTCCGTTGATAAGCCTCATTGTGTAACCTCAATGCCTCACTGTCTTCATCCACAGCAGGCCTGCAAGGTGCTATGTGTCAGTACCCGGCCCCATGGGCCAGGCCCTGGGCTCAGACTTAGTCCCCAGACTGGGGGGTTGGGGGGTGGCAGGCTTTTCCTTCCCTCTCCTGGGGTCTGCACCTGGTGGAGTCGGCACCATCCCAGGAGCGTGGAAGGAGGACCTGGACATTGCAGAGTCAGCATCTGGCCTGCAGGCTGCCTGCCGAGGAGGGGTTGCCCCAGGACAGGCTTCAGCCTTCGAATTCTGCCTGCAACCAACCAGCAGAAGTCAGCCAGCCCAACTACCTGATTCCCAGTTTAGGATGACCCTGCCCCCTCCCCCGCCTGTTCGACTGCATTCCTCAGCATCAGCTTCAGCGGGGAGCAAACCTCACCTTTTTATCCCCACCCATCCTCCGCCTGCCCTCTCTCTCTGTAGGTTCAGCACTCAGCCAGGAAAGAGGGGTTCAATTCGAGGCACTCCTTTGAATCCTAAATTGTACAATTCCTGATACTCAAACCACACTACTAGGCAGAAATTACTAACCACCTTTTACAGATAAGGAAACTGAGGTTACAAGGCGATTAGGCAGCAAGTATCTCGTTGACGGGCAACAGGAAGGTGCTGTTGCGCTTACCCTCTTTTAGCCTGAGTGCACCAGCGGGTTTCAGGAAGGGCAGCACCACAGGCCCCTTCTGACGAGGGGGGAGGCCAGAGAACACCCCCAGAGACCTCTCGGACCCCAAGGTGCAGGTTCCGACCGCCTAGCAAAGATGCCCAGAGCCCAGGCCCTGGGGGCAGCAGAGCAAGACAGAACTTTCCGGAGATCCAGGGCTGCCCGGGAGGGACGGAGCCAGCACCCCTCATGGCCTTTCCCCCCTCTCAGAGGCCACGCCACCATCTTTAGGACCACAGGGAGCAAAATGGAGCAGCGGGCGCCTATTCCATTTCAGGAGAAAATGTGAAACCGCCGGCTCCAGCATACTGTATGAAAAAATAATTGCGCCCGGCCTGCATCTCATTATTTGCCCTTGCTGGGGTATTTTCCAGGCACCAGGGTGACGAGGCTGCCTGTTTCAATATTTTCATCACAAACACAATTCTGGACAGCGGCCAAGTTTCCATTATAATGACACCTCTGCTTTTGAGGAGCTGCCAGCGCTGCTACCTCCTTCCTGGACCGGGATGAGCTCTAGAAACCGAAAATAGGTGTCAGGAACAGCCTGCCCAGCGAGCAGACCGGCCCCCCCACCACCACGCCTGCTCGGGGCTCTTTGAAGCTTCCAGTGCGCCTCACCATGTGACATTCAAAAGCTACCCCAACACATTTCCAGCGAGAGCGGCTGGGGCGGCCCTCTGCCTAACCGCATCAAGTGGGAACTCTGCCGAACGGATCCCTGGCCTGTCCGCAAGGCCAGCTGAGAGGGTCTCGCAGCGCGGCTGTGCGCCCAGCCCCTCCTGGCACAGATGAAGACACTGCCCAGAGATATGAAGCAACAAGCCCAAGAGCTGACTAGAACCCAAGGTGTCCTGAGGCTTCCAGCCTTAGGGGGTCTCATAGAAGGCTTTCAGGTAGAATACGCTACAAGTCATGCCGCTCCCCTCAGATTAGCACATACACATAAAAACTGCATGTGCAATTAATTTCAGGGGGTCCAGAGAGACAAGCCCCAGTTCGGAGCGTTACAGAGCACCCCCAGAGACAATGTTTACTGAGCACTTACTGTGTGCCAGGCACGGCCCCAAGCACGTGGCAGGTGTTCACTCGCCCCAGGACCCCGGCCGGCTCTGTGGCCCGTGTGTGAAGTCCCTCCTGTCAGCAGCACTGCCAGCTCTGCCTTGTTCCGGTTCCAGCTCGCCCACTCACCTGAGGGCTGCCTCCGCTACGTGCTGCGGGCCCCACCCACCTGGCCTCCAGGCCTGCTCCTGGGGCAGCGAGAGTCCAGGATGCTTATCACCACCACGGCTACTGCTACTGCTGCTGCCGCCGCCGAGTTTCCTCCACAGCCCTCCAAGGCCGGCTCAGACTGAAAACCTGCTTGCCGCTGCCCCCTCCCCCAGCTTCTGCTGGCTGGGTCACACCTGCCTTCCCCTCCCCCAACCCCACTTCACTCCTTCCTCCAGCCCCCTCCGGGATCTGCCCCCCCCATGCCCGAAAACTTGGTCTGCGTGATCTCAAAGGGTCTCCTCTGCTCTAAATGAGACAAAGGGGGGACACCTGTCTGAGCTGCCTGGCTCAGGGCCAGCTGGGAGCCAGCAGGAACCTGGCAAAAGACAGCTGTTGTGATCGAATGTCTTTCTCCCCAACCCCCGTACTTAAAAAAAAATTCTATATTAGCCCAAGTCAACACCGAACCTCCACTTTCTTCCTGGATGTCTAGGCTGGATACAGCGGGCAGGTAACTGCCGCATTTATGCTGCATTTCATGCTGTGAAAACACAGGTGCGCACATAAATCACCCTGTGCCGTGTTTCATGTAAGGGAGGAGCGTCTCCAGAAGGAAGTCGGGCCGGCTCTGCAGGACAAGGAAAGAATGCGTTGTGTGAATCCAAATGCTCTCTCTCCCAGTGCCCGCGGAGCTCAGTGTGAACGCAAGCTCTCCACTCGGAGCGCAGGAACAGAGCCACCCACGGGAGTCGGCCAACGGCACCCCCACTCCGGGCCGGGAGAGGAGACAGGGTGGGAGACGGCCACCAGCCACCGAAAGCGTCCCTTCCAACTCCCACCCTCTCTAAGGGCGCCCGCTGACCCACTGCTCAGAGGGGACACTCCCATGCCAGCAGCTACTTTGGAAACCATTTCTGCCCTTAGTATTTAAGGAGACTCCTCTCTCATACAAATGGGCTCCACGTGGCATCTGTGAAACCTGGGCCTGAGCAGACACGAGGGAGGGACAGGGCCTGGAGGCGTGGGCGGGGCAAGCGGAGTGCCAACCTGTTAGATCGTCTCCTGAGGCCTGGCAGGCCGAAGGAGCAGACCGAGGATGGGGGCGCAGGGGTCGGGGCAGAGACCTGGACTGATTACCCACTGTACCGCCTGTGTGAACTTGGGGGCAGCACCCCACTGCCGCGAGCCTCAGTTTCCACATCTGTTAAAGGAGACAACCCAGCCCTCCCTAGCGCTTACCCTTCCTTGCCTCATTGTCCTTCCCAGCTCTTCATGCCACTCACGGTTCATCCAGTGGCCTGGCAGGGGCATTTCCCTCTGTCCCCAAAGGCTGAGACGGTGTCTGTCTGGTCCCCAGACTCTCAACTAAGGGATCTATTTGGTAAATGAAATTATCTGAAGAGTTTTATGCAGAGTGTCACTTTCCACAGGACGGGGATTCATCCAGTAGCTCTTGAGTGAGTACATGACCCACAAGACTGGGAGGGAGGCTGGCACACAGCCAAAGGCACGATGCATTCCGGTCAATTCCTCATCCCTCAGCCTTCGGGACGTGTGGCCCCTGCATCTCACCATGTGTCACTTCTCTCTGACAGCGGGACACCATTCCCAGGACACGCACACAGCCAGATGTCAGGCCCACCAGCACACTCCCCTAACTCTCTACTCCACTTCGGGAATCTGAGCCCGCACTTAGAGATGAGGGCTTGGGGATTCCTGGGTAAACCGACAAGACCTTTCAAGTCTGTTTTCTTCCCCAGCCGGCTGGAGCCGAGTCAAAGCTGCCTTCTACACGCGGGTCATGGGCTCCCCTGTCCAGGGTGGCCCCAGTCTCCTCTCCCCATGTCCCTGCACTAGTGAGGGCAACAGCCAGCAGGCCCTAGCTGGCCGCCATCCAGTCGCAAAGCAGCTCTGACCCGAAGCTTCTGGGAGTGCAGGCTCAAAGGGCCTGGGGCTCCTAGGCTTTCTTCCCTGCTGCTCTCCAAACACCAAATAAGCATAGCTCCCTCCCCAGCCTTGCCTGCAAGCAGCCCCTCTTCTGGGAGCAGGGGTTCCTCTTCCCTCTGTCGGGCATGTGGGGAACCAAGCGCCTGGCCTCTCTGGCCAGATGAGCGGCAGCAGAGGATGACAAGGCCGCAGAGACAACAGTTGTTCCCGCAGCCACAGTCACAGGGCTGGGGGCCTTGGCCCACACCCTGGGTAGGGAACCACAAGCTCTAATGGCCAAACAGAAGCAGGTACCTGTGTGCTGATGGGCCCCCTGTGGGCAGACCTACCTCCCGGACCCCCAGGTCGTAGATGAAGGAACCCTGCCTGCTGCTCCCCCCTCCACACACACACACACACACACACACACACACACACACACACGCACACCATCTCAAAGCCCGCAGAGAACAGGCAGGAAGACCTGGAATTCCCTTGAGAAGGCCCCAGAGATAAACCTCCCCCCACCTCGGAGGAAGGATCTGATCAGAAGCCCCACTTCTGCTCCACAAAGCACTGAGAGAGACACTACCGTGCTGCCTCAGTTTCCCCACCCAGGAGGAGGCAAGAAGAATTTTCCTGCCAATCTTTCAGGACTATTAGAAAAACTCATTTGAAAAAAAAAACTGCCTAATTTAAGAAGTATTTTTATAACCACGCTACCTTAAAATCATCTCTAATCTGTACTGTGCATCAGTCCAGACATCCTGATTCAACAGTTTGTAAAATTAGTAAGTGCCATGTTCTGGGAGAGGACGCTTCCTGATTTTGCCAGGCGGAGGGGTGGGGGCCGAGTAGGAAAGCTGGGGATGGAGCATGGTGTGCGAGGGTCCGAGAGAAACTCGGGCAGATCTCCAGGCCTCGGGTTGCTCCGGGCCCTTCAGGGGTGCAAGTGCCCGCAGCCCGCCTTCCCGCTCCACCCCCAGTGGCTGCCCTCCTGGGCACCGCAGCTGGCGAGCAGCGGGCTGCACAAGGAGACGCGGAACCAGGGCGAGCCCCTCTGCTCAGCCCCACGGGACGCGGTGCCACAACCCCTCGAGAGGCGTCCCGGGGCTTCCTGGAGATACGACTTCATTCCCGAAAACTCCGTGCCACGAACTCACCCAACGTGAATCAGGTGAAGGGCCCCGGGACGGGAAGGCGGGAGTCCAAGGAACGGTCTCAACCCCAGCCTTGATCTCTCCCTCGCGAAGCCCCTGCACGCGGCGCGGACACCCAGCCGCCAGCAGCCCGCAAGCGAGCCCCATCCTTCAGTGTCAACACTGGCCGCTCCAACCGCGCGGGCCGATCCGGGCGGCGGGGCGGAGGGGCAACTGGGCACCAGGACCGCCAAGGGGCGGTCCGGCAGCCGCCGGGGGACCCAGGCGGCCCGAGTCCGAAACACACAAACACACGGACGCACGGACGCCGGCCAATCCTGTTCGTCCGGAGTCGGAAGGCGCTTCCACAGCTCTTCATTCATCCCCCAAAGGCCAGGTTCCCGTGCACCCGCACCTCCGTCCCGCGGTCCCAGGGCGCTCTCAGGGGGCTCCGAGGGGGCCAAGTGCGCCACGACCCACTGCCCCCCCCTCCCATGGCCACCGCGTCCTCTCCACCCCACACACAACCGCACAGACTCGCGCTCCATCACGATCGCCCGCGTCGCCCCCGCGCAGGGGCCGCTGCCACCCCGGCTGCCCACAGCCTCCGCTCCCCACCGGCCCGCCACGCCGCTCGGACCTGCCGCGCTCCGCTCCGCTCGGCTCGCCGCGCCCAGGCCGTTCAGGGACGCCGCGCCGCCGCGAGGAAGCGCCAGCAACTCCCGAGTCTCGCCGCTTCCCGAGCCTCGGCCGGGAGAAAGGAGGCGGCAGGGGGCGGAGGGCGGGGAGGGAAGGGAAGGGAGTGGGGAGCAAAAGTTCAGGCTGCTCTGGGCCCGACCGCGCCCCCGGCTCCTCCTGGGCCCGCCCCCGCGGTCCCCACCTCCGGAACCTGGTTCCACAGGCTTCAGCGCCCGGGACACCCGGTCCCGAAACGCACCCCCACCCCGCACGCCTCCTCCGCGGAGAGCAGTTGCGACAGAGCAGTCGCGAGACTGGAGCCGGGGATCGGGAGGTGGCTCCGAGCCAGAGTCGGGGGGAGAGTGACGGACGCCCACCTACCTGCCTCGGATGGCGCCCGGAAACTTCCCCGAAGTGTGCGAGGAAGCGGAGCGCTCGGCTGGGGAATTCCAGTCCCCCCACCGCCCCCAACCCCCACCAAGCCTACCAGCGCTCACTGAGTGAAAGCACTGGTCTGTTTGTCCGTCCGTCCTCTGCCTGCAGCTCCCAAAGCGAGGTGGCGCGGGGGCGCCCACTCCTGGAACCGTTTTTTCGGGTCAGCCGACCGCGTGTGCCCCGCGGCGTGCGCCCCCCGCAGGCCTCCGGCTGTCCGCAGCGCCACCACCCCGTCGCCAGGTCCCCAGTCCCCAAGCTCCAGCTGCATTCTCTTGAGCCAGGGAGGGGGCGTGCGAGCCCCGGCTCCGCCGGCGGCCAGCCTTTCCCCGTGGGCCCTCGGTGAGCGGAGCTCCCGTAGCACCGCAGGACCGGTGGCGAGGGGACGCTACCCGCTGGCGACGGCGGTAGCCTCGTGGACACCGAGCCCAAACCTGCCTCGGCTCAGCAGGCTCGCAAGTTCATTGTCTGCCGGGGCCGCCGCCGCTGCCATCACCACCATTGCGTCGGGAGCGCCGCGGGGAGTGAGGCTGCCGCGCAGCCTCTGCCGGCCGGGACTCCCTTCGCCCAGCCCCGGCCGCCGCCGCGGGCGCTGCCGGGCGGGAACGTGGAGGGGCGCTGGAGCCCGGAGCCAGACACCCACCCGCCGCTCCTCTCCGCCCCCATCCCCGCTGCTGGCAACCAACTTGTACCTGAGACACCCGAGTCCAGCCCGGAGCCTCTGCGGCTCCGGCTCCGCGGGAGCGCGCCCAGCCCTGCACCTCCAGCCCCGCATCCGGGGCGCGTCAACCTGACTCCCCGAGCGCTGGGAGGAAAAGTTTGGGAGTGACGTGCAGATGGCGAATGAAACATCCGAAGAGAACCCTCCCCCCGCCCCATGTCGCGTGGACACACAGCAGCTCGAGTCTGGAATGTGGGATTAAGGCGTGTGCGCCGAGCGGTGGGTTTGGTCCCTGCCCTCTTCCCTTCTAAGTAAACACGGACAGGGTGATGCGGTGATTTTTCAAAGAGAAAACAAACCGAGCCCCCTAAAGTCTGCCAGTGACACCCTACCAAAGACATCTTTAACGAACCGGGCGGTCTGGAGCCAGCCCATACATTGATATTCAAGGCCACGGCGCTGGTGTGTTCTGCGCCCTCTGTTGTATTTTTTGCATCCTGGGAAGGCTCTTCGGGTTCCTGAGCCCAGCGTGTTGGCTTCTGTGGGGAGGGAAGGCTTGGCGGGACCCCGAGCGCCACTGCCTGCCGCAGTGGCCACCAGGCGGCTGCTCCAGGGAGGCACCTGGGCTGCCCGAGGTCGCAGAAGCGGCATCTTTGGTCGAGTCCCCGGATTCTGGGCTGAAGACGCCATCAGTTAAAGAAAAGACACTTTGAATTCTGGAAGACTCAACTCAAGGGGCGCTTAGAGCACCAAGCCCAGCCTCTGGGGAAACAGGTCCAAGGGACAGAAAAGAATCCTTGTCTTCAGTCACGCAGCCCTTTGCCTGCCCATGTCCCTGTGGCCACAGTCCAGAACCCTCCTCCTTAAATCAACCACAAGTGGAGCCCAAAGCGCTTCCCAGCCAGAGTGCTTTGCACACCACCCAGGGTGCTTTGCTGACAGTGCCTTGCCCCCCTTTCCTCTTCTTAAAAAAAAAAAAAGGTGATCTTTAGTGCTGAGGCTTCATCTCACCCCCCCCCCCAAGCAATAACCACTCGGGTCAGTTAACTCGGAGGTCACATCAGAAGACTACAGCTGCCAATGGGGAATGAGAGGGCACGTCTTCAAAACTGTGCCTTGTTTCTCTGCAAATAATGCTGCTTCCATAAAAATCTACAAAGAAAGACTAATGAAGCAAAGCGACCAGCCTTAAAATCTCAGACTGGATTGTTTTTTCCATATAGACTCCACTTGGTGACTTTTGTTCTTTCTTTTTTTTTTTATTATTAAACAAAACCCTTTTTTTGGAAATACAATGAGCTGCTTTTTGCAGGGTTCATAATTCCCAATAGATGATGATGCCATTTTTCAAGGTCTTACACACACTGTGGCTTTGGGGCTTATTTATTAGCTCCAAAAAAAAGCCTGCCTTTCAGTGAGGTTTATATACTCAAGTAATTGCTTCGGGGGACACAGTGCAGGGCGCTGTGAAAAGGGTCGGTTGTGCAAGCGTGGTCGGCAAGGAAGGCCCTGGGCCAGGCGGCTGTCAAGCTGGAGTGTGCAACCGGTTTAAACAAACACGGGGAAGGTTCTATGGAAACTTGGAGAAGGAAATCCCTCCTGTAGGGGCGGGCGGAATATTATTCCTCCACCACACGTACCGCCCTGCCGTCTTTCCTCTCCTCTGTCCAAGTAAACACCGGCCTCCGTATGGAGATGGCGCTGGGCCCACCCAGATCACTCTCAGATTCAGGTGTCAGAAATCACAGCTGACATGGAGCAAACCGTTTTTAAGTAAAATCACGGAGCCACTTTGATATGAATTCCACCAGGGGATTTCCAAATGTATTTATGCACATGCCCAAGATTAACTGCAGGGCGAGTTTTTCCCTGAGCATTAATTTCAAAATATCCCCAAGAATTGCACTTGGGCCTGGTATCCTGGAGAGTTGAGAAAACACCCATTAGCAAGAGGTTAAAGAAAATGCAGATAATTTGAGAAAACAAATATCCCCTCCCCAAATGCACACTATTATGAGGCCGTAATTCTGGAGTTAAATCGCCTGGGTTCAAAC